GCGATGAAAATAAACTACAGAAGTTGCTCGTAAGGTTGCATACAGTGACAAATATGACAAATGCAAATAAATGGCCAATCAGGTAGTAATAATTTGCTGAAGCTGAAACTGGTATCTGAAGAAATTTTAATCTTTTCATTAGCCACTAGGTTAGTGTGCATCAAGCGACACTAGATCAATGTATTGGCATTTGCATCATGTCTACGAAGGAACTTTGAATACTATTTCTCTATTATAAGATGTTTATATATGAAATAATCATGCGATGCACGTTTTGTAACCCCAATGAGAAAGAATGAATAACGTAGATACAAAAATGCATTATTATGTTAATATTTTTTCGACCATTGAAGGCTGTAATCTATAATCAAGAGTGTTGCCAAAGAAAAAAAATCTATGTGTCATTATATTTCGTTTGCCATTTCACATTGAAAGTAGAAAAAATACTTGTCTTCCAGCATGAAACAAGGAGTTCGACGCAACCACTATCATCGAATATTCAGAAGTGACATATGAAGTTTTTTTTTGCCCAAACAGAATAACGCCAGTAGATCTGTACAACTGAAATTGAAGCAAATATTGTAGAAATTCACATGAGATTTTCATACAAAGAAAAAAGTCAATACTTGTAATTTTACTTAGGGCATACCAAAAGAAGTGACAGTGTTACCTTAATAAATGAATATAAGTTTTATTTTATTTAACATGATGTTCGAGTTTATTATATCAAAGAACAAGAAGAAAGAATAACAGCAGTACTCACCAAGGATAAACGAGTGGATGTGGGTGTGCTAGTTCATGTTTTCATTATGTATGCTCACATCTACACCCATAAAACGATATCGGAGTAGTTATTTACTCGCATGGTACTTTTATTTTACTCTCTTTTCAGAGTGAGAAACAATCCATGGTTTTTCGACCAAATTCATGCTAAGTTTTCCGAACAAAAAAAAATTGATTTATTCCGATACATATCATGCTATTGTTGTAAATTTTATTTGTCAACATTTTCTTTACATCTATTCGATTCTTTCTACACATTTTGTTGAATCACAGATCATTTGTACGAATTCTGGATGATGCTAGTACAGCGATAGTGATAAGACATTATGAGAGAAAAAATACAGAAAAACCTAAACATGTCGATGAATTTCGTTTCATATTATTAGTCACACATAATTCAACATCTTACAACCATATTCATATGTTTTCATTTATATAATTGAATCCCTGAGATTTATATGCTGATACTTATCCTTAAATCTATATATATTTATATTGATACCCTTCAAACTATATCCTGAACACTACATCTTGACATCTCTAGTGTTTCAACTATATTTTTAGTGTCTACACTATGCTACTATTCATAGATATTCATTCGTCTTCATGTTCGATCATATAATTGTATCTTGTTTTAGTGTTACTCTTTTATAATATAATTGCTTTTGAGTTTCTTTATTGGTGTATAATATTACAAATATATGTCTAAATTGATGTGTTCTTACTCTGTAAACTTTTCTTCTCTTGATGCATCAATACATTTGAGCGCAATGAGATAAATATATCGTGACTATCATAATAAAGGAACTATGTCTTAGGTATAAAACTTTGAGATTTTATAATAAATTAAGTGAAATGAATAGGTGACGTCTCACACTGATTTCAACATGTGACCTTCTACGATCCGATAAGACTTATGCTGTCTGATGTTATGTGTATCACAAATGGTGAGATATATCTAATGTTCTGTAATCAGATTGGCATCACAAGTATAAGCGTAAGCCGATGCATTAGTCGACCGCCGTAGCCGAAATTTTGATATGAAAAAGGAGCAAAAACTATGATTGAGAACTTATTGACATGACAGCAGAGAGTAATATCTCCAAAAACTGATCTTAGATGTCAAAAACTTTTAAAAGTCAAGTATCAAGTTTCGTGTTGCGATAGTTACAACCATTTTTGGAAACAGCGACGGCTCATCTGATTAGCTTGTACTTGTAATCATAAGATCTATAATTGTATATTTCGTATTTTATGAATCTTATTTAATAGTTGCTTCAGTCTTACAATTAGAATTGTTTGAAGACTTTGAATAATACGGAGAGTACAATCTTAATGGATCATTTGATAAGATTGTATGAAAAATCTTGTAAGACTTTGTTTGATCTGATATCCAATTTCGGAACTGAACAAGAGCATAGAAAAATGGCTAGTTGAATTTTTAAAAATCTTCTAGTACCACGATCAAGTTTCAGAGATATACTTAAGTAATGCCTAATAATATATTCTCTTTTATCATTTTCTTCAATTTGAATTTTTAAAATTTTTATCAAATAAGATTCAATTATCATATTTCGTAACTGAAGCTTCCGTAAAGAATTATGAGTCAAAATATATTTTATGTCGTATTTTATTTTTTCTCGTTACTATCTCTTTAAATTTCGAAACATACTACACACACACACACACAGTCGATACAGTCATATACAATGAGACAAGATATATGAGACAAAAGTGATACGCATACACATCACACGATAAATAAAGATAAAAGAAAATCGACAAAAAAAAAAGCAAAAAAAGAAAAGAAAAGAACAAAAAGAAAAAACACAGTTCGTAACAACTACAGATAAGAAAAAAAAATTGTTTACATGCTTTTTTTTCCTCGCGGCTTTATTGATATGAATGGCAAAAGAAGACATATTTATATATATAAATTAATACTAATAACACTTTATACAGTTCTTTGTTTTTTTCTTGGTGGACAAATAATATTATTTTGTAATGAAGCCATCGCTCGATATGCATCAGCTAATAGATGCGGATGTGTACGAATCATTGTTTGAAAGCCAACAGTTTCTAAAACATCTAAAATTAAACAAAAAAGAGTTTTTTTTTTTTCATTTGACTTTCTTTTTTTTTTTCAAAAATTCTTCATACCTTGTAGATGTGTATTAATAAAATCAATAGATTGTTGTCGAAGTTGTGTTGCTGAATGAAGATCAGCAAGTATAAGTATATCGGCAACATTATCTTTATCAATTGTTGTACATAATGTTTCTTCACATTGTACTTTAAGTCTTTCCAAACAATATTTATCAGCAGCTGGTAAAAGTGCATCTGCTAATTTATCAATATTTTGTATTTTACCCGTATATATAAAACGAAGAATTTCAAGCATTATATCACCATCAATATCTTCTATTTCTACACGTGAACGTTCATTTTCTAACATTTTATGTTCAAACATAGCTTGAAATACTTTTGATCGAGCACTAAGAATTGCTTTATGTACGGGAAATTCTTTATGACCACAAACAAGTGTAACATCAGAATAAACAGGATTATCAAGTAATGTTTGAAAATCATCGCTTAAACGACATTCAGGAATTTTGAACTAAAAAAATAAAAATTTTATAAGACTATTTAACATAGATTTAACACGATAAATTGAGATCTTTTGTTTTTTGAATATCTATCTGTGGCATTAAATAATATAATTTTACTATAAGAGAGAAGTACGAAAGGTGTCATACGCCATTCAATAGATTAATATTCAAGTAAGAAAGAGTCTTAAAAATGTTCCATTCCTTTCATGATCATTATATTGTCGAAAGTCGTATACGAAGGTCAAGAAATTCTAGATCTGAATTCGAAAACGACATAACTTATTTCTTGCACTATAAACTAAAAAATGGATTATAGACTATACAATGGTAATTCTAAAAATATAAAAATTCGAAGTGTAATTCTCTGGTTTAAAAATTAAAAATATTTCATAGAAACATTATTAACAAGGAAAATATGATAATATAAATAAAACAATATACTACTGGGAAAATATTCGTTCATAATTTAATTCAAAACAAGCAAAATATGTTAGATGACCTTATCTCTTTTATCCTATCATTTTTGTGACATCATCATGTATCTATTCTATTTCTATCTTCTTTTATTCTACTATCGAATATTTTCAAGTACCTTCATTGTTTTTCTCTTTCTTTCGTTTTTGAACTATTATACATATATGCAATAAATAACTGATTATTAATATCAAATTTTATAGTCAGAAACGATTTTTGATTTTGAATATTCTTTTCATGAATAAGAAAAAAAAAACGGATACTATATGTTTGTTCACAACCAATGCATTGATTTATGCAGCAACTAAAACAAGAATTTATTTAAAATCTAACTGTTTGTACTAGAAAATAAGATTGATAATAAAAAGACAATTTGTAATGTAAAAATCTTTGAGAAGAATGATTACTTTCAACTCTTTTTAACAACCAAACTTTACAGATAACTTGATTTACAGTCGAAAAGTATGTACACTAATCAAATATATGTCTTAGATTTGGAAGAATGCTCTCGGAAAGTTTCTTTGATACTGTATTAGTAGGAACAAGTTGCAGCTAACTTTACTGAAGACGTCTATGCGGAAAAATGCTTAGCACTAAAGGAATAATTTTGATTTTTAGATTATATATGATTTATGGTTCGACTCTTTTTAATTTTTTACAAAAAATAGTTTTTCAGTAGTCAAGTCAATTTTTTATTTTCGAAAAAAGTATTCATTAATGAATTCGTCTAAGAAGCTATTCTCTAGCTGTTTATATGAAAGTTTCATGACTATTAAATGTATTTATAGGGAAAAATTCTCAATTTTAGCTTTTTTTCGGCAATAGGTCATGAACTCAAATACTCTAAGGTTTTTTTCTAATCTCAATACTTTCTTCATCAGCCATTAAAGATTATTACTGTGTGATATTTCGTCGTGAACAGAAAACTACACATACAAAAAGAATTTTAAAATTCTATCATTTTTCGAATTAAACAAAAGTGTAATTTTTTAAACCTTCGTAAATCAAAGAATATTTCATAAGTTAAAAAGTTTTAATGAACTATAAATTCATCGTATGTAATATAAGACGATTATACAAAGCAATACTTGGTATCTATATTCTGTACCGACACTCTAATGATCATGTTTCTTCTGTCTACAATACTATCATTAAAAGAGATAATGTCATCGGCAATCTACAATATTTTCCTAAGTACTAAAAGTCAATATAGATATAAGTTGATAGGAATTATTCTTTATTGTTGTACCTACTTCATATTTTCAATTTTCGAATATAGCTTCGAAATGTTCTCTATCAAATACTATATATAAAAATGAGAACTCTTCATTGTTAGTTAACACTTTTATTAAACCTCACTTTTGCAGTCTCGAGCTTTTGAATCAAATTATCAACGCTTGCTAACTTAATTACTATGATGATTGATTAAGGCCTCCCCCCCCCCTCAAAACAAGTCAATTTTCGTCAAAATTTTCGAAATGGAGATAAATGCATGGTTTTCAAGTTTTTCGAGACCCCCTATTCGAAAAACCAGCGGTTTTTTGAAAAATCACAAAATATTTTTCGGTTTATGATTTTTTTGATCTTGATACAAGGATTTCTCAGTCCAGGTTCAGTAAATATATTTAAATTTTTTTTTGTTTGAAAGAGCGCGTCGAGATGCAGGTCACCACAGAGTCCTTTTTTAAATTAAACTTTGTTTTTTATTAGGTGTACGTACATAGACACTCATTTTGGCGCGTTTTTTGAGTCATTGAACTTGTGATCCCCTTTTTCAGCAAAAAAAGTAAGAATTAAAAGAAAAAGGACTCTGTGGTGACCTGCATCTCGACGCGCTCTTTCCAACAAAAAAAAATTTAAACATATTTACTGAGTCTGAACTGAGAAATCCTTGTCCGAAAATGAGCTATTTTTGACTCTTGTTTGGTTCATATCTCTGTTAAATATCAGTCAATCGAGCTGAAAATTTTACCACAGCCTCCTTACTTCAGCCCCAACACATGCTCCAAATTTCAGCCCATTTGAACGTTCCTAGGCTGAGATCGATTTTTGAGGGGGGGAGGCCTTAATAATCTTAATCTTACTGCTATTCTTTTCTAATATAAATACAAACGAACTTTGTTTTTATTTCTTTTTCTTCGTACTTGTAATTATTCTTTCAAATATTTACTATAGGAAAAATATTTTCCAGTATATAATTCTCTAGTTCTATTCTATTAATAAAAACATTCCTGATGGAATTAAAAGCTTTCTGTATTTTTTTAATGTAGAATCTTGATCATATTGAAAAATTACATTTCCTAATATCTTTAGTTATGTTTATTATTAAGCTTTTTATCTTTCGGGTCAATGCATCTCTATCAAATAAACTTTAAGGCAAATACTTGTTCTATAATTATTGTATTTGAAAATAAAAATAGAATTATAAATGTCATCATAGTTCCTTATTTTTAGTAACTTTAAAAATTTGTCGTTATTTAATATTAAATAAATACAAAAAAAAAAGTTTCAAGAAGAAAAGGTGAAGATGACCTTGCACAAAAAAATAATCGATCTCAAGGTTCTGCACTCGTTTTTGTTATAAAATATTGTTTCAATAGAGCTTTATTCTTTTTTTTTTAATAAGGGTGATCGATAACTAGTTTTACTATAAAAAAAAAATAAATAAAAGTAAACTAACTTCAGCTATCTTTACTAATACTAATTTTTATATAGATTTCAAAATTTCATTTTGTCAAATCATCAATTTCTTATGAAACAAAACAACAACATTAGTTCTATAAATAATTAATTTTCAAAATACATACTGGATTAATTTGTGTTTGTCCACTAATATTAATACTATCTGCAACTACACTAACTTCACAAAATAATGTTAATTTATCATCTGGTAATAAACCATTTGCTTCATCAATAAGAAAATCTCGACGAATAAATTTTTTAAATCCCCAATCTTTTCCTAAATAGATGAAAGAAGAAAAAAAAAACAAAAAAACGAATCTAACAAAAACTATAAATAAAATTACAATTGACCTTGAACAAATCGATAAGCTCGTTGAGATTCCATAGCTTTTGTTTCATCACCTTTAGCATTAAGTATTGAAAATTTAAATTTTGCACGTGTTTCACATTTACTATTTGGTGCAGTAACAAGTAATAGATAAAGTGATAAATAATCTTTTGATTCTTCATCAAGACCTTTTGGATTTAAACGTAAACACCATTTTAATTTATCATTAATATTTGCTGAAAATGATGATGATTTTAATGCTTCACCCATTTCTTCACGACAAAATGAAAAATTATTTATTGTCCAATTAAATGAAAACTACAAAATATAATATTCAATATAAAGAAAATAATCCTTGAAAACACAAAATTTCTCAAAAATACATACTTTAATCACTTTAACACTTGTTAAACACCATGATTCTGAAACAGGTTGACTAAATGAATGTATTGGTTGTTGTATTATTTGTTGATGATTTTGTGTTTGAATTATAATATTATCATTATTCATACTACCCGGTATATAATGAACAGATGGTGATGGTGCTCGTACAACAACAATATTTTGTGGTGAATCAGGAAGCATCATTTGTTTAATTGTATGAAATAATTTTCTATACTTTTATAAACACAAGGATACACGGGTTGATGAACGAGAGCAAAAATCTATTAAAACTAAAGCAAAAAAAAAACTAAGAAAGTTTTACGCGCGATAATATTTTTTCTTTTTTTTGATTATTTAGATGAAGAAAAAAACGAAAGAAAAAAATGACGAGTAGTATATACGAATGAGTATTCTCAAGAACGAAAAAAAAAGAAAAAGCAAATAAATGACCGATATCAACGGTCAATCACTTAGTTGCATTTCATGTCAGAGTATGAATGATTCATCGAAATATATATAATTAATAATACTTTTATTTCTATGATATATTAATTTAAAAAAATAAAATGAAAATTTTTATCAAAGATTTTTTTTTCTTCGTTTTTGTATTTTATCTTTAATATTTAGCGAACTCTATCGAAATTTTTTTATTCGTAATTTTATATACCAATTAGAATATTGATTGAAAAATTTTTCAGATCGTATATGAGAAAAACCAGTGCATATTTGATTGACGTATGTAATATATATTGATTAAACCAGATGTATTGTTTCAATTACAATGGGATTAGAATTCTTGATTTTATTTTTTTGATTATAATTTTGTACTTGATAACGGGCATGACCAGTATATGTCAATCAAACTATAGAATGTAGTTATTAGTTAGACAGTAGACTATGATAATAGAATAGATTTTATATAAAGAAACAAATATGTTGAAGGTATTTATATACAAATTAATGAATAGAAGAAAGTTTTTCATTTAGATAAAGCATATTTTTTTTTTACTTGGTAAATAAAAGGTTAAGGAGACCGAAAAATACATAAAGAGAATCCATTGCAATGATAGAATATGTCATACTGTTAGCTTTTTATATTATAAAAGTATTTCAATAATACAAAAGAAAAAGTAGATTACTACGATGGATTATTGATATGTTAATCAGTCTTACCAGGGAAGCTCTCTAATTAATTAACTATTTTTAAGTTAAGACTATGTATATTATGTAGAATGAATATTTCAGAGAAGAATTCGAATTCTTCTACTAAGATATTGGATTTTTACGATATGTTTTAACACTATGTAGTAGAATGATGGGACAGAAATTTTCTTCTCGATTTAAATACTCTCAGAGTAAGATGAGATATGTCCGATTCTCTCATCAAAGCATATTTTATTTACTAATAGACTTCGAACGAAAATCAAAGAACTAGTTTCGAAGATCTTAGTTATTTGAAAATTCATCCAAGCAATAGTGTATTATCATAGAGAAGAAAATTTCAAAATATAGTTGCTCTAAACTTTAGATTGGCAAAAATTCATTTTTAAATTTCAATATAAAACTTTCCACAGAGACTAAAACTTAATGAGAATAGTTTATTATGAAAATTAAAGATTATTTCATTATTTCTATTCCAAAAATAAAGTTTGCCGTTTTACATTACTCATATACATCAACAGTTTTGATACTTTTACTTTAAGAAGAGAAGCACATCAAAAGATATGAAATATTCTCATTGATGTTTATCATTAGACAACATTTCAAATCGAAATTTGAAAATCAATGTTTTTGAATGTTCATTATGTTTTGATAGAACGATAAAGTTAACATTAAATAACGACAAGAGAAAAATTTTATGACTTCAATCGGCATAAACACAATTTAATAGCAATAAAATAGATCCGAGATTTTTTTTTTACTATTAAATTAAACATTTTTTTAATGATCGATCTTTCATACGAATTCTGATGTTTACGTGATTAAAAAAAATGAAACTATGATTTACGCTTACGTCTTCTTGATTGTGGAGGTTTTTTTTTCTTAATTGAACGGAAAAATATCTACGAAGTAGAATCGGAAGAAGAGCCGAAAGTGATCGTACATTAGAAAAATATTCTCGATGCAGAATAGAAGAGAAAAAAAATAGTCGTACTTTAGAAACATATGAAAATAAATATAATAGGAGAATTTTCTAGAAAGTGTTTGTAATTTAGATGCATCATAAAAATATTCATATCGGATTTCATTTTTGTGAATAGAAACTTCTTGAATACTTTAGTCTTATATTAAAAAAAAAACTCAGTATGATTCAAGTAAATGTTTGAATAGATTCTAAGTATAATCAGATAACGTAATTGATTAATAATAGATGTTAAAAATTTGAAATATATTCTTATCAAGAACAGCAATCATTATATACAATATTTTTTTTTGTATTACAGTAGATATTATTTTCAATAGAATACAGATTATATATTCTTCATTGAGCAAGATCGTTCTATTTCCAGGTCTGGTTTTTTAATATCAACCAATAATAAATCTTTTATTTATTTTAGATTTCAATTTGTTATTTGTAAAAAAAAAGAATGGATTTTACTGATACACGTAGTTTTCGTTCCATAAATTGTATTGTTAATTCATGTTTGATTAGTTCAAGTTTTCTTGGTGGTCCATCATCAGTAATCTTTTCTGTTCGTTTTTTTATCCTGCTATTTTATTTAAATTTGATTTATATAGAAAACAATGATATCTATGACTGGTGGTGGAACTATTATTCAACCAGAATATTCAATGAATCATCCACAAACATCAATAGGTTTAACTGGTTCTGAATATTGGAAAATAGAACGTGTTGTAGCCTTAACCATGCTTGCTATCATTCCAATCTCATTTATATTTAGTTCAATGTTTATGAATTATTTATTGGCTGTTTCACTTGCTATTCATGCACATTGGGGTTTTGTTTTCTCTTGAAGATTTTTTTTTTTATAGAATAATAATATATTAATATTCTGTTGATAGGAATGGATGCAGTATTAATTGATTATTGTCCAAGAAAAGCATTACCATTAGCTAATATTATTCGATATATACTTACAACAATTGCTTTTGCTGGACTTTGGTAGGAATTATTAAAAACAAAAAAAAATATTCTATTTATTTTATTTTATAATAGTTATTTTAATTATAATAATATGGGTTTGATAAAAGCACTGAAAGCACTATGGACTATGTATTAATTAATTTCTATTTATATAAATAGAAATTTTTGCACATGAGTAAATTATTTTGTGAATTTATTCATTTTTTTTTTTTTTTATTTTCTCGTGAGATTTAAAATCTATTGTATTTGCATTTTTGTTCCTGCTTAATAAACATTCGACGAATTATTTGCATGATATAGTTTTCTCTTTTTATTTGAATTAATCAAAGTATAGAAAAAAAAAACAACAACAACAGATTATGATTTATTATTATGAAAATTGCAAATTGAAGAAAAATTTTTTCTGTTTTAAACATCTTAGGGATGATTATTTTATTCATTTGAAACAGAATATTTCTTATTAATTATATATTGTGTGATATTTTTGTTGTCGATATTGATCAGCTCGTATGGCATAAATAATCGGTCTCGAAGTACCAATATATGTTAACATATTCTTACATTTTGTTTTCCACAACTGTTATATTCATTAACATCTGTGGAGAAAATAGTAAAAGACTACAGACATTTACAATCGTTGCGCATTATGAAAGACAGATATAAAACATTGTGTGGGTATTATATGGTAGTTAATACATTTGAAATTGATATTTTTCTTGACCCCCCAAATGATATATCAATCAAAACAACAAACAATATAGAAGCATCCTAAATAGTTTAGATATAGGTTATACAACAGGCCTTCGAACTTATATATAATCAATCATTAATCAAAATAAAAACAGAATTTACTAGATTAATAGTTTCTCGGTTTTTTCTATCATCGAAATTATTATTCATTAATTAATCATTATTTTATGATCATTCAGTTAAAATCTGTTATAGCATTAGAAACTATCATTGAGTAATTAATAAAAGAAAAATTTGACTCTCAAAACACTTAATTCAACTAAATTAAATTATAAATTCTCTATACATATGAAAACATTGCATTAGAATAATAATATAAATAAAAAAATTCTTTTATCTTTGTCCATCAACGCATTGCTCTTGTTTACTCTATTATGTGGTTTCTTTTTTGGCATTGCCAATCCTATGGTATAATTACTATGACATTCAAATACTAACAGAAACTTGAAATATAATTTAGCAAAGTACACTAAATATGCTGCTAGCTACAGAAATAAATAAACATATAGTAATAATTGTTTATTGGTATAGGATATCCAACCTATTACAGATTGTTAGACGAAAACATCAAAAAATGACCTTGACTGGAATAAATATTGGTAAAGCTTTTACATATATTTTGGTGCAAAGCTGCAGGGTCATTTATACCACTAGCATTCTCTTCTATATATTTTTTTTTGTCTGGTCTCTATTTTTCATTTATTTTCCAGAACTATTCGTTGTTATTCTGTTTTGATAATAATATAATAAAGCAAAAATCGTTATATGTGATGAAAATATTCCATTACGGATGAATGTGATGATTTACTGATACGATCTATCAATATGATAAGCAATAGACCCACTAACAGAAAATAACAACAACAACAACAACATCTGTCTGACTTTCGCCTATCGTTTTTTTTTTGTTGATGATGAGATTCATCAAGAACAGAAGCTCGAAATAAATCTACAAGAACTTTTTTTTTGTCTATAAGATATATAATATTTCTTTGCACGTGCAACAGACGCTTGCCTATATCTATTGAGTAAAACCAATACCTTTCTTTATTTGATATTGTATTCAGTTAAGGACTAGACAAATAAGACATGGTAAGTTATTTCATACATGTATATGAATTGAAATCTTACAAAAATTTTTCTATAATATAGGAAGACACATCACATTTAGTTACACATTTTATGGCTGCTGGAGCTGAACAACGTTTAGAAGATTATCATTTTTTACGAAATAGTTTTGAAACAGTGAGTTTTATTAAGTTAAATTTTATTAAATATTAATATTTATATATAATTTAGATTAATGGTCAAGAATCACAATTAAATCGTATTTTACGTATGCTTGGTGAAGATGAAATATTTCTTGGTTGGTATTTTGATACAACACCTATTGGAAGAATGCGACCACGATCTTATTATGAATTTGATCGTATAAATGAGCCAATAGTTTTACCAGGAAGTATTGCTTATCAACGTCTTCGTGAAATGGAAAAAGATGATCATAAAAAACGACCATCATCATACGTATCATATCAACGTCCTTATCCAAATCGTGAACGTCGAAATCGAATAAGTGAAGAACATGATAATTCACCAGTTTCAAATTCAGATGATGATAGAGCATCTCGTCTACGAGCTAAAGCTAAATATGAAGCTGAATTAGCAGAATATGATGAAAAACGACGTGCTAAAAAAAGTGTTCGAATAAAAGATGATAATGATAAACCAGATGATATTGAATTAATTTCATTTACTGTTCGTTATGAAGATATACCATTATCTAATCAAAATTCTCTAGGTCGTCTTGTATGTGAATGGATATCACCAAGTTCATCATCAGGTATTGATTATTATACAATTGAACGACAATTAGGTGATAAAGAATGGTTACCTATTGAAGAAAAAATTGATAAAAAACAAAATCAAATTGAATTAGATATATCATCATTAATTGCTAATGATAATGATGATAATATTCCATCACGTTTTCGTTTAAAAGCTCATCTTGGTAATGGAAAAATATTTACTAGTAAACCAACAGATGATATATACATAAATTCAAAAGATAAAAAACATATTATAATACCTGATGTTGAAATTCTTTCGGCTAATTCTGTTCAATTAACATGGAAAAAAGATGAAAATGATACAATAAATATGTATGATATTGAAAAGAAAGAAGCAGGTCAAACAGAATGGATTAAAGTTACAAAAGTTCCTCGTTCACAAGGTTCAGCTAAAATAGATAATTTAACTGATGCTCAACAATGCCAATTTCGTTTGGTACCATCAGAATCACAACAAGCTGCAAAATCAGGTATCATATAAAGGCTAGTTCAAATGTCAGTTAATCGAAGAAAAAATTGAATATCTTCTCTATAGTTTAATCAAATAGGATGTCTTTCTTTTTTTTTACTGATGACAAACAATCGTGTTCATGGTTGATAGTATCCTTAAGGAAAATATTGAACAGAATCATTTTGATTTATCACTGTCGACTTCGATAGAGAAATACAATCTTTCCTTGATTATTCTTGACAGAAGAGCTTTCCAAGCTGATTCACAGCTTGTGAGCACATATTTCGCCGAAAAATACTATATTATACCTTCATGATAGCTTTCGAAGGACGGGGTATAGATGTGAGTTATGGTATTTTATAACCTCTGAATGTAGTTGTTCTCTTTACACACATCCGTCTGTTACTATTTGATAATATATAGGTTCAGAAACTTTGGACTTGTTGAGAAGATCTTTCGTTTAAAATAATTAGGAAAGACGGCATTTTTATGTCGGAGCCAATAGTGATCTATCAAAAAGATTCTTTTCAATATTTTTCATACTCATTTATCTTCGGTAAAAAAAAAGTCGGCTTATTTGAACAAACTATGGCAAAGATATTCAATTGTTTTTTTTCATTAAACTGACTTTTAGACCATTCCGTATTTGATCGATTTGATTTGTGAAATTCTTTTTCTTTTTTTTTTATTTACACAAGACGAACCCGAACCAGACGTATTGACCGTACATAATGTTAATGAATGGCTTAGTTCATTACGTATTGTACCAACATCATCAAATACTGTTGATGTTGATATTTCAGAAGAAGGCTTTAAAGAATTCGATCGATATAAAGTTGAATATACAACAATCGATCAATTAGATCAATGGAAACAAGTATGAATAAATTGATATCTAAACATAATGAAAGATGAACCCTCTTTGTTTTCAGATGCCGGATATAACTCGTGATAGTCCTCATTTAACTATTAACAAACTTGAACAAGATACTAATTATAAATTTCGTTTTACACCAATTTTACGTGGAATAACACCAGGAAATGAAGCTAGTACTTCACAACTTTCACTTGTTCTTGATGTTAAAATGCCACCATCACGCAAACCACGATGTTCGTTAAATTTTTCTACTTATTTTAAAATTTTTCTTTTATTAATCTAGTGATCAAAGATGAAGCTAAAAAACGAGTTCCTCCTCCTCAATTTGCTATTCATCAAACTGATGCTACAAGTGTTCTTATCGAAGCTATTGTTCCTAATGATAAACCAGCTTCATTTGAAGATGTTTTTGATGTTTATTCAAAAAAAGAAACAGCTGATGATGATTGGACTAAAGTATGTAAATAATTTAGATTTTTATAAAAAAAAAAAAATATTCATTCGATATTTTAAAAAGGTTGGAACAATTGATAAAGATCATTTAAGTATGACTATTAAAAATCTTCAAGAAAATACGGCTTATGCTTTTAAAATACATAATCAAGCATTACCATTATCTAATGATGAAAATAATATTATACAACAATTTAAATTTGAAACAGATGCAGGTTAATATATATTTTTGATTTTTTAAATAGATTTTCAAAAAAAAAATTATTCGAAGTAAAATTTAAATTATTTTTATTTTTTTATTTTAGTTAAACTATATGATCCATCATTATTCTTGAAAAAAATTGAACAAAGTTTGGAAAGTGTTGTTGGTGGTGTTATGCGAGCTGGTAAGAAATACAAAAAAAAACAAAATAGGCTATCAGAGATCAAGTCTATTAATCATAATAATTGCAAATCTTTCATTAATAGATTATGCTTATCTAAAAGAAGATAAGTCATAGAAAATTAGATTAGACTGAAATCTTTGACACCAACCATTTAGTGATAATAACTATATATATGAAAATTCTAGAAGAATGTAAGCACATATAGACCTCGAGAAATTATGAGTAGATCATAGTAGACTTACGAAAATAAATATGTTGACATATGGATCTAAGAAATACGATGATTATGATAAACAAAGAAAGGCATCTCTGTCTTTCAGCTATTTTACAGTATAATAAGTGTCTAATATCACAACTTAGTCAACATGTTATCAGACGAATGACCCGAAGTCAACACGCGTTGGGGACTTGTCCGGGGTCATTCCATGATTAGCAGTACTGTAGTATGAGCATAATGTCAGTTAGATACATGTTAACCAGCATGGTCATTCAGCTTCTAAAAAAAACACCCTCAACTAGACTAAGTTTCATAAATAAAAGTTCAAAATTTTTCAACAAAGCCTTTTCGACATCTAACACTTTTCAAGATGTGTATAGTTTTCCATAAATTGCATACACAACATCTATTTTTTGAAGCTACTCTACTTAAGTTTTCTTTATATCGGAATTCGAGTTTTTCGAACACTTGAGGCTTCTAAAGAAAATGAACAGATTAAAAATTCCATAGTCTAGTCTCATTTTTCTAAGCATAAACATTCTCATTCTATATAATGTGTTCCAATTACATAAAACAATTAATTAACACATCAATGGATTTAGAAAGTACGCTGTGAATTGAAGCAGTTAGTGTCAAATTCTTGTTATAGCTTAATGAAAAAACAACTCTATACGTAAATCACATCCATATGAAACAACTTTCCTTCATTCTTAACATATGTTTAGTTCTAGAAAACGGTAACAGGCTCCCCACAAAGTGTAACCTCATCAGTACACATGTGTAATAATTATGTTTCAGATATCATCTTCTTCTTTTTGTGATAACTTTATCTCAACCATACTGTCACCAATATTTTCATTGAAATCGTCATTCAACAGACGAATGTTGTCACTATCTCTAGTCTGAGTCTCGTTAAAAATCTCTTTGAAATAACCTAAATATTGCCTTCTCATTAAGAATGTCTACTGAAGAATAATTGTTAATTTTGTAGTAATATGTATCTTTTTCATCATAATTTTGATCAAAATTCATTTGAAAACTTTTAGTAGAAATAGTTGAGAAGATGACAAGTCTATTTTCAAAAGTTTTACAGTTGCAGCATTGAATGAAATCGAGTTAATCTTACGACATGAGTTTGTTATTTTAGAGCTTACTAATTACTAAGATCTCAATAAAGAGTCACGACCTTTGTTGATACTAGAGTAGATATATAGGCCGCCTTAACTCCTAGGAACAAAAACATTAATAACTTGTGGAATAACAAAACGCCAGACAAAAGCTGTTTGTATGCTTCTTTGCGCTAAATGTATGTTTTTCACAAAGGAAAGAATATGTGTCAATTATCACTTCAATAAATGTAAACTAATGAAAAGCAAATTATTACTTCCAATTAAGGTTTATTGTCGCATGCATGCACACACGAGAAATATGTAGCACTTCATAGAAAGTTTGCTACTTTTATTCAGGATTGGAAAGAGGTCGAAATTGGAAGTTTTAGTAAAATTTTGTATCGTTAAATAGAACGTATCGAATTATCTGTGGAAAAATTCTTTTTTTGTTATTTGAAAAATATTATAAGAATTATCTCGTGATTCTGCAGACAAAATTAACCAAACGAACCGTAATATACATTACAGTTCGTTTGATCAATTATCTCTGCAGAATCTCAAAATAATGCTTACAATATTCTATTATGTCTCAATAACATATCTGTGTTAATGGATGAATCTAATCATGATATTTAGAATTTAGTCTTTTTTTCAATATTGTCACAAAAAAACTTCTTTCAAACAATCGAAAAAGTAGTTTTTCATAGATTATTCGATGCGCTCTATTTAACGATACTAAAGAAATTGAGAACAAAAATTTGAAATGTCTGACTCTTCTAACTCTATTATTATTTTATATTAAGCTGCTGGTCATCAAGCTCTTGAGACTCCAGTAAATATAAGTTTAAATGAAGTAATTAAAGAAATTTTTCTGGATGAAAATCTTGTACCTAATGAACAATATGGTTTTGATACATTAGCATTAACTAATGATTTACAATTATTTCGTGGTCCAAAACAAATGATGTTACAAGAATTAAAAGGTAATGAAACAAGTGAAACATCAAAAGTTGATGGTGAAATTATCATACATAATTATCGTTCAGCACAACAAGAACAAAAACCAGTTTTTGTACGAGAAGAAAATGGTAATACACGTGTTGGAAATATAGATGGTGATGTTATTGTACGTAATGTTGTAACAGATGTTTTATTAACAAAAGAAGAAACACATAATCAATTATCAATGAATATTGTTGGACAAGCTTTTCTACGAGGTTTTCAAGGAATCTTAATTGCATCAAACTTTAAAGGAATTATTGTCGTCAAAAATGTAAATAAGCCGTAAAAGAAAAAACGAAATTTTTTTTTGCTGCTTAGTCGATTTGAATGTTTGTTTGTTTTTCATTTATATTTAAAGAAAAAAAAAAAAGAATGATTTAGCTGTAGTTTATAACATATATACTATGAATGCACAATGAAAGATTTTTCTTTTTCTTTTTTTTTTTTTTATAATATACCAAATGAGTTTATTTGTCAAAGAATGAGCGTTTCTTATCATTTTCACTCTGTAATATCAATTCAACTTAATTGATTTTGTTATACTCACCAACCAAATAATTAGTACTGAAAATAAATTTCTGAATATAGAATAACATATAGATATATACATTTGTGTAACTATTCAACAATAGAACAATAAATAAATAAAGTGCAACTATTCAAATGACATTATATTTATGATATAACTCAAAGTTGTGAACATATACAGCGAAACTTCTATAAAATATAGTTAATTAAGATTTTACTTCAGCAAATATTTGCACTAGTAATTATAATAACTTATGTATGATTAAATCATTTTCAAATGTTTGTTGAAAGTTTTTTTTTTCTAATAATTATTACTAATAAACAAATTCATTGGCTCAGTCTATAGCCCTTATTATGAGGATTCGATATTGAATAGGGCACTTGAAAATAACATAGTTCAGAGCTTGTAGAATAATTACAATATGTTTTGCATTGAAATAATAAAACTATTTTTATGAGTATGTTATCCAACTTTCTCAGAATGAACTTCGTTGGCCTGAATACTATTGAGGACTAGCTTGCTGATCCACACGATAACAAAGCTGTCAAGTTAACTTAGAATAAATATCAAAAAGAAAGATCACAACTATACAATTATATTCAAATGGCACAAAGTGATAGTGAGCACCACTCATTTCATGGTCAATGTTGATTTATCCGAGTATACTGTGCTAGTCTAAAATAAGATGTTACTAAAGTCTTGGAATCTGAAAAACTACATCAAAACGAATATACTAATCAACAATCTGTTTTTATTATGAAAAATCAAGATTTTCTACCACTAGACAAATTGAAAAAACCTCCACATGGAACAGAAATACATACCGATGATGCACTCAGTTCAACAAAAGCATTTCTTCTTATAAATAGAAATCTCATCACCATACGTGAAAGTAATAGTAGGTTAGAAGAAAATTTCGAAAAGATCGATTCTAAATTGTACCAAACAGCTTTAGATACACAGTTACATTCACAACAATGGTCAAATCGATCGAATACGTACGATTATTCATTCAACAGATGATCTGGCTGATTTTCAAGTGGACTTAGTTATATCTTGTAAAGAGAATAAAGAAAATGGTTAACTAAAATTCAATATTCCTATTCATTCAAAATAGCTTGTTAATAATGAAAGTAATGTACAAACAAAAATAGATATTACTTCGAAATAAAATGACGGAAATTATTCGAAAAATAATAAATCAAATTTTACAAAATAAAAATTTGTATGAATTGATTTATAAATGTAAATAACTTCAATACTCTCAATGAGGAGCTAAGATATGAAAAAGAAAATCAAATGATGTTTTAGAATTTTTGTTTTTTTATTTTATTCATGACAATTTCGGTTTTCGATCAAAAACTTGCTCGAAGAAACATTTTCTTTTTCTATTGAGAAAAAAAGTCGATCGTCGAAGGATTTAATAAGCTTCTACTCCATGACTTGAGATTTGTACCAGTAAATTATTTCTCACGAAGCTACAGTATTTACCTTAATTAGTAACGAAGAACGAAAATAGAACGAACTTAAAGTATAAATATTGTTATATCGACGCAATACTCTATTTTAATATCGTCACATATATATTCATCGTAGTTTATATATCATTGGAGTATTTGATTCAGTCAAGCGTGGAATCCTAATTAATCTTTTCATTTTCTTTTGGTTCTTTATATATCAAAAGAACAGACTCGATCATTATCTTCATTTCTTTTTTTCTTATTCATTCATTCCTAATTTTGTTTTATACAATATACATGAATATAAATAGTTTCTAATTCAAAATCTATCTACAGTCTAGAATAATAATCAAATGAAAGCAGCATTTCTTGGTCATCAATATTTGACTGTAAAATCAATTAACGAAAACAATGTTTATTTCAATTCTGGAGGACTTCGTAGTAGTCGAAAATATGAACGAATACATTCTAAACAACAACCAACTACTAATTCAATAGACCCACCAATTTCAGCTTCTGATCCACTGTCACATCGATCGATTACAACTCAGAAACAATCTGAATCAAATGTACCATCAGTAGCTATTATCGAACGAAGTTATAGTGATTCAAATGATCTTTGTGTTGTTTCTGATCAACAATCATCGATCGATACTCAATTTCGACATCATGTTGAAAGTAGAAACGTTTTTTCTATTGATTTTTCATATGTAAATTTTTCTTTTTTCTTTCTATTAGATAGTAAACCGTACTCACTGAAAGCCCTTATTAGTAAGAGACATGGTGAGTATATGCTAAGAAGCAAACCTCTTCAGCTGGTTCCTTCCAATTTCGATGATTTTTGTCTATAGATACTATACAATGTTTTAATAAAAACTCAAAAAGGATTTGAATTCATATGGAGATTCGAAGTCTCTTATCTTCAAGAGACTTTGTTTAAAACTTGTGAATTTTTAAGGGAAACTAGTCTAATTAAGTTCTTTATATTCGTAGGATTTTAGATCAAAACTGAAAAATATGAGGTTTCCAAAAAAACTGGGACGTCGAAAAAAAAAATTCGATATCTTAGTTAAATTTCAATAAGAATCTAAATACTTTTAAAGTATTTATTAGAATACTGTAGTATCTACGGGTAAAAAAAACTCATTGAAACCGAAAGGAATAACTGAAGAGATTTCCTCGTAAATTAAATCAATATAGCATAAACTGAGTTTTTATTTAGGAAAACGAGATGAAGACGAAAAATTAAGTGGTCGTGTTCGTCATTTTTATAAAAAACAAGATGCTCTTATTGATTCATTTAAAGAACTTGATGAACAAACATCATTTCAGTTTAAAAAAGACAATGAACATTTAAACAAACAAAAACGACACACTGATTGGCTTATTAAAACGACATTAATTCTCAATGTGGTAAGTAAAAAAAAAAATTAAACATTTAATAAAGATTTTCAATTCTTATTTATAGACATTGTTAATTGCTAAAATAATAGCTGCTGTCTTTTCTCGTTCTCTTTCAATTATTTCATCAGTTGTTGATTCTGCTGTTGATTCAGCTTCAGCATGTTTACTTTTTTGGGTTCTTCGTGTAATAAAACGTCGTGATCCTTATACTTATCCAGGAGGTAAATATTTCAATATGTTTCATATAAAGAAATGCAATATTAACATATTGCAGGTCGTACTCGTCTTGAACCACTTATCATTGTAATTCTATCAGTTATTATGATTTCAGCATCAGTTCAAGTTATTTATGAATCAGTTCAATCATTAATAAACTATGTAAATTATTTTACAAAAAAATCAACATCTTTACGTCATATTGAAATGGGACCAGCACCTATTACTGTCATGTGTGTTACAATAAGTAAGTATAAATCTATTACCGGTTTTTGAAAACAGTGCGCTCGGGGAGATTGCTTATAACTTTTTAAGAAAAGGGGACAGAGATCTGCGGTTTTCGCCGTTGGAAAGAGGAGATCAAGGCACATTGAACCGTATAATAAACATTTTTCTGACATGGTTTGCCAAGGTTTTATGTCAATTATCTAAAAAAACTACGCCTTAACAAGTTGGAAAAATTATTTTTTTCAACAAAAAATTTTGAAAAAAGTGATTTTTTTCCGCAAATTTGTTGGAAAATTAGGTAGAGGCTACCAGTAAAATGGATACAACTCCTGAGCTACAAAAGATACAGACCTGGGGCTAGTCTAGAATTGTAGATCTCGATCCGGCTATTAACTTCACTATTTGGAAATCAAAATCTGACATATGCTCAGGGAATGGCAATCTCGTCAAGCTTACATCCGAGGGTTTACCTTGGTAAACCTTACTTGAAGGTCTGGTTTTTTCATAGTAATACATACCCTGCTGTGCTCTATCGAACAATGAAAACCGCAGGTCCCTATCACCTCTCCTTGAAAAGTTAAAAGCAATCTCTACGAGCGCACCGTTTTCAAAAACCAGTACTAGTTACTAGTTTACAATTGTATAATGATGTTTTAGTTTCTAAAGCAATTCTATCATTTCTTTGTTATCAAATACCAAATCCAACAATGTATGCTGTTGCACAAGATCATCGTAATGATGTTTTTTCAAACATAATCGCACTTGCATGTGGTATTATTGGTAAGAGAGACACTATATATATATATATCAATATTCATTTTTACTATAAAAAAATTTGTTAGCTTCCAAAGCTCTTGATGGTTCAATAAAAGCAGAAGAAGTTGTTGTTCTTGATCCGATTGGTGCTATTCTTATATCATTTTATATAATATTTTGTTGGTTAGGACAACTTCGTGAACAAGTACGAAATTTAAGTGGTTATAAAGCACAACCTGAATTTTTACAAAAAATTACATGGCTTACATTACAACATTCACCATTAATAAAAAAAATTGATACTGTTCGTGCATTTCATTTTGGTACATCATTTTTAGTTGAAGTTGAAATTATTTTGCCTGAAACAATGTCTCTTAAACAAGCACATGATATAAGTGATGGATTAAAAAATAAATTAGAAAGTATATCTGAAGTTGAAAGAGCATTTGTACATTTGGATTATGTTGTTGATGCTCTTGAATATTAAATTAAAAAAGATTCAACGAATTATAGGTTTTTGTTTTTTGTAAATAATGTATTTTAGATAAACAAAATTTTTTCTTATAATTGATTGAGATAATTTATATACACTCGCTTTTTTTTTTATGAATAATTAAAATAAAAGATACGATAAAAAAGAAAAACTTTAACAGTTCATTTAGTAGTATCTTTAACAACTTCTTGATATCGATAAAGATTTTATAAAACTCCTATGATAATGTTAATATATGATTGATTATGACGGATGATTAGATGAAAAAGGTCTTTTATGAATGTTAAGTAATTATATATAATATAAAAATGCAGTTGGTTTATCTCTAATTGTATATATATGTTGGAGGAGAAATTAAAATTCAGGAAAATTTTAAATTCTCCTAGGAGAAATTAAAATATCAATATTAAAATTTTAAGTTTTCCTAACTTTTCTAGGAAAATTTTAAATTTTCCTGAATTTTAATTTCTCCTCCAACATATATATATTGCAGAAATAGTATTATAATTACTACGCATTTGAAAATAGACGTTTTCAAGTTTTAACAGACATATTCGATACAGAAAATTATCTTATTTTGAACTATATAAAATCCGAGATTTAAAGCTAGTAGTGTTAGAGAGTTATACGGATTTTTCAGAGATCTCGATTGTGGCGAGCTGGCTCTGAATTGCGCAAAAAATAGTTCCGAAGACTGGCAACCGACCGCACTAACTCGAATAGTTATGTTTATTGTGTACAGTTATCATAGTTAAAATTTCAAGATTTTCACCTTTGGTGTTGCTCAATTAGGTAAAAACTGATTGCATGATCTCGTGATTCTGTTGATTCCGAGTGGTTCTAAAATGATACTGGCCATCAAAATAGCGAAGAAAAGTTACCGTTTCGTTAGCAAGTGATAGATAACCGAAAATTCGTGGATTTGATTCTTTCGTGAGAACATAGCTATCGTGGGAAAGATAATCATTTTAAGAGTCGACGAATTCGAATCGGTAATAGGGCTCTCAGAGCTGTGTATTTGATTTCTCTGTCAAAAGTTCTTAACTAGTCTTTTCTGCTCTGAGAAATCATGCATATAATTTCAAGAATTCGATTCGAGATTCGAATGCTTTGATCCCAACAATCTTTGATGAGACTTATAAGATATCATTTATTTTGAAAAATATTCTTTCTTTCATAAACTCATGAATTCTTCGATACTCGTTACTGGGTAATTGGTAATGTAACGGTGATTTCTCAACTCTAATATTGATTATTATAATTAAAAAAAAAACGACTTTTGTATTACTCAAAAAAAAATAACGAATGATTTGAAATATGTTCATGGAATGATGGAAGGAAAAATAGGTGATATCAAATGCAATTATTGATTCTAATGGCACAGAATCAATTTTTATCCCTTAACATCATTATTCAATTCGATATGGTCAATTATCCTTGTTTGATAAATATTTCTATCAAACGTCATGATACAAGACTAAAAATTTTACTGTAGCGTTTTCAGTATAATATCTGGCACGAAATCGATTTTTGAAGAAGAGAAGCCTTAATATTACTTTTGTGGATAAATAGATATTTATAAAAGATTTGGTCAATATTTTGATCATTCTGTTGTGATAGAGAGTATCTGTTCTTTACTTGATTTGTTTTTTTTATGATATTAGCATTGTACTTTACCAGGCACTTTGTTGCATTGATATGATTCAAAAACAGTTTATTTATATATTTTTTTTTGTCGATAAGGTAGTTTCTTTAATTAATTTTAAAAGGACTGCAAACGACTCTAAATATAATCCGAGATATTTCCACTGATAGAATTACTAGTTCTAACCTTAATCGTTGAACAAAAGTTTTTGTCTAAAGGAAAGAAGTTTAATCATGATGATGGTTTAAACTATCAAAACTTGTATTACATACGATGAACCTGTATTTTATGTTGGTCTTATTTGCGGTTCGATTCAAGATCCTGACATCCTAAGAAGACGTCTGGTATACCGCTCTAAGTAAGAATGACTAGTTAAATTTAATCCAAATGAACAAGTTCCAATGAACTTTGCTTTTAAAAATAATCAGATCTAGTTTGAAAATTTTGTCTTTACGGATTACTCTATCGCTCTGTGTAGTCTAAACAAAATTATAGTTACTGAAAAACTATCCCTTTGGTTTTCTGCAGTCCTTTTTTCTGGAAACCTGATAATAATTTTGAATTTCGTATATTTTTATTTGAAACTACTCTCTCTATTAGAATAAATATTTGGATTCTTTCTAGCGCTTTGAACAGAGAAAAAAAAATTGAAATTACACCTTTTTGAAGTCTGATGTTTATCCATCGTTAATTGATTGTTTTGATCTTGTTCCAGTGCAAGTTTTCTGTGTTAATGCTATTGATTTGTACTTATAAGAGTCAGTTACTTCTTTTTTTATAGCTAGTGCAAATGTTAAAAAAATATTATCTATATATTATCTATACTGATAATAGATTGATTTGTTGAAAACCTATTTATAGTTAATCAAATTTTCAGATGAATATATATATATGCTTTATTCCCAAAGGGATGATAAGGTATTTTATTAAATAAATCAACCACTTTAAAATTAACTATCGTTTGGTTTATGCTAACTTATTAATATCTTTTATTTTCGTAATAAATTCAAAAGCGTTCCTAATGTAAACGAACCTCATTGAGAAATGGTTTATTTATTAGTGTTGACAGTTGATTTGACAATACGTAATTAAATGTGCCTTTAGAGGACAACATGGGATTTGGAGGACAGCTTATTTTCTATATTTTGGATTAATCATATTGACAGTAAGAACAATTGAAGCAGATCAAAGATGAAGACATAAAAAGTTATCAAAAACTCATTTTCGGTGAGGTTTTCAGAGATAGATGTCCATAAGTTTTTGTATACAAGCAAGGCTTATTGAGAATATTTAAACTATTTCAATTGCGAACTTTTGCTCTGCTCTTTTATTATACAATCGTTTTCTATTCAGGATAATAATAGAGTTAATATTCTAGAGCACTTAATCGCAATTACTTTTAATATTTTTAAGATTAATAGATTCTTCATCATTTAAATTTCTGATCTTTCATTGGTTTTACTGATATGATTAGTCTATCGAATTAATTATGTAAATATGGTTGGATATGTTTCATTACATATAGTTAATGATTTTGATTTCAATGCTAAATTTCTACTATTTACAAAATTGATATGTTGAAACGAAGATGATAATTTTTATCTAAGAGACTTTTCTCGCATCCTTGAAGTTTTTTATCTTCATTTGCTTGATTAGATATATGAAATATGTTCTAATTAACTAGAATGAAATAATATGTTAAATACTATTGAATTTTGTTCAAGTAAATAAACATATTAAAGATTTAACTAGCGCTCAATCAATGTGTATTATGCAGATGCAAACGAACTATGAGTATCCTGAAACGAGTTCATGCCTTTAACGTATTGCTACGAGGATATTGCATTTTTACGATATTTTTTAAGTAAGAATCGTGGTAGCCGAAAAGCTAATGTTCGAATTTCGACTTGAAAATTTACATAGAGATAGGTTTTAACAAAAATAGTTTTTTTTCTGTGTGTTTCAAAATCAGTTTTTTTGTTATCACGACATTTATTTACAAATTATCGTAACAGTACAGAATTAGCGAACAATAAGCTAAAGACAGGAACTCTTTTTAGGATATTCATATCTTATTTAGTTTTCACATAATACACATAGTTTTGATTGAAAAGCGATTGGATAATTGAAGGACTTTTCTCGATATCTTGATAGAGATAGATTTTTCTTCTTTCGGAATTAGATCGTATCTATAACTTTAGACTAATGACTATGATTGAGTAAATACCAACATAAATATACGCTGAGATATACTTTGTGTAAATATAACTCGACGTCTTTTGACATTAGAATAAGATTTTGAAACTTCGCTCTATCATCACTCATCATATGATAATAAATATGTTTTTATTTTGATGAATAATATTGAAAATGTTGTCGAATACTTATTAAATCACTTTAACCAATTATTTTTGAAGTTACAAGATAATTCAAAAAAATAATAATTCTTATTTTTCTTCTTCTTAAAACTATGCATGAGCTCTCTTTTCATTCTTATTCAAACATTTAAATGCATTATAAACGATGAAAGCATTCAGATAGGTCGAATAAATTGAGACAATATCTTCTAAAGTACTTAGAAGAGAATCTAATGAATGAATAATAATGTATTAAATAATGAAGAACTTTGAGTAGCATAATTGGCAATATATAGGACTCATGGGATAAATATCAGAAATCTTCAACTACGTTTTGCTTCCTTCTTATTTATTTTTTGAAGTCTATTGCAAACTAAGTCGTTTTCGATGCAGTTTGATGAAGATGGCGCTGCACAAAATTTATTATGAATAAAATATATTCTAAAACTGATTTCTTCTCGATTGATTAGAATTTTAATAGAAAACACTCTAAGAAATCATTTCTAGCTGAAGTTGTAAGCGCTACTGACGGTATTGACAACAGATACACACTATAAACCGTTTAATAGATTATATTTAAGTAAAAAAAAGCCTTCAAGAGTTCGGGTCCATGGCTTACTGGTAAAGATTTACGGTTATTTTATTGAGGAACACTTATTTCTGCAAAAAAAACTAAAATGAAGAGTTTTGAACTCAAGTTTTACACATAAATAGATGTAATAATAATAAAAGTATTCATGAAAACGAACATGTCTTTCTCCAGAAATTCATTGTATCCTACGATAGTAAGGACTAACGTGGATGTGCAACTGAAGAGAAAACACACACCCACATCCTAATTGAAAATTAATATAGTAGAATAAATTCTCGTATTTATGAAAACCACCCACATATATGGTGTTTGATCAATTCTATGGAAGTAGAAGAAAAATATTTATAGAATATTATACGTCAATGTCCTTGTGATGCATCGAAGCAAAAAAATAAACAAACAGCAGCATTACAAAGTCGAATAAACATGTCGTATAATCTATATAATAACTATTTCATTACAGTGTCTGGTCTCATCAATGATTTGTCTTTTATTATAGCATAAAAGAAAAAACAAAGTTATAACTATAATCAAAAGTTGATAAAATAATGTCTCAAAAATATTTTTGTTTGTCTTTCATTCTTTCTTTTTCAATAATAAAAATTTAATTTGAAATTAACTGTTTGTATATCAGAAAATATTCGGAAGTATTCAATGCAACTTTCGAACAAAGTTAAAACAATCATCAAATTTTCATTATAATGACCAAATAGTCTCCATCTGTAGACAAGAGACTCCAAATTCTTAATGATTTTTTTCTTATCTCAATATCATCTATTAAATGATGTAGAAATGAATTAAAACGGAGATGAATATCTCGAGTATTTTTCTCATTAGTGAATTCTATTAGTTTCGAGTAGTCATTCCGAAATACTATAAATAACTAAATATTATAGTTTAAATTGTTGTGTTTAAAGTATATAAAATTTAAAAATAAGTAAACCATACTTAGAACAATAAAAATGCAGAGTTTATCAATGACGTTATAAAAATTCTGAATTCTTCAGATTTTTTGTTTTTTTTTTTACATTTAGAAATCTTTATTATTAACTGTATTACATGTTATAGTTTATTTCATTCTAATAAATAAGATAATGTAACAGAAATATAAAACAATTTGTTCGTAAAAGTTTGAAAGAATTGTTAAATATTTTTTTTTTGTTTTGAATGAATTTTCAATAATATAATATTTGATGATTATGTGTCATCAACAGAATAATATAGTTGAAATTATGCCAAATGACTCATGTTTTTTTAACTACGACATCTGTATTCAAAATACTTATTTTTGATTAGTTATCAATGATGTCATTTCATGAATAATATGTGTTTATAGGTATGAATGATTATGACGAATATTTTTCATGACGAAAAGAAAACATCAGTATTTATACGATCATTCACCGAAAATGAATCTACCGAAAGGCAATAGACATCTATATACATTCTAAGCATTTAAAATTTCGATCAAACTGAGTGAATATGCATTAGTTAGTAAATAGTATTGTGTATGTCTGGTAGTTTTATAAATGAAGAAGCTGAAGCAAAATCTATGGTTATACATGAAGATATGATTTAGAAAAATCGTCGATATATATCATTTTTAAGTTAAATTCAATGATGATATTAGTATTGGATATATTATTAAGAAAATGTTTAATTTAATTCAGAAGATTTTAGAGTCATATACTATGTTGATATGACGATAAATATATACGATTATAAACGTTTTGGATTAAAATACATTTCATCAATATATATATTATCGTTTAATTAGTGTATAAAATGTATCGTATTTATCTATTATAGCTTCGAAATGGTATATATTTATATATGAAATTGATATTATAGATGTTCGATTGTTTTATGATAATAATTGGTATTGAATTTCAATTCGTATTAAACCCATAAATCTATCGTTTATAATCTAATATCGTAATTGATTTGTACGTTTCGAATTTCTATTCAAGTATATCAATACATATTTCGAAAATCAATAATATATCTGTATCACATCTTTCGTTGTTCGAAACAAGAATAAATCGTTTCTATTTGAGATTTATAGTAAGTACAATCAATGATAAGCATTCTTTAATAAAAGGTTTTTCAAGCTGTACTAATATTTAATATAAGGGATGGTATAAAATAACTAATAGAATTCTTTTTAAAGCAATTGAAGTCAATCAAAACTCCAAGTACATTATATAAAACAGAATATAAGACATTATGAGAAATACTTTATTGGATTTTGTAGAATAGAAGAAGAAACAATAACAACTCTACCTTTGAGTTATCTTGCGTTTTGGGGTGTTGCCTAGCAGTAAATTCAATAGTCTAATATCCTTTCGACAACTATGACTCACTATAGTTCTGAACAAAAGATCGGTTTGACTCAGAATTTTTCCGTTAAATTGCTTAAGCTTTTCATACACGCTAACTAACTTATGTCATAACTTAGTCAGTACATTATTGGTTGATATGATTCGAAACAATAACTTGTTAGTGAGTTATTTAGGGTCATTCTATAGTCGACAGTACTGAGATTTGAATATATATGTGCTGAACAACGTAATGACTCAACCATGACGATTTCATATTGTTTAGAGAAAATCAAATTTTTTTTTTTACAAAACTATTTTCTATGAAACTTGTAGTATTTGAAACTCAAATATTTTGATATATCTAGAATGGTTGCATTGTGCTGATAACATTCACACATAACGTGCGTAGAAATTTCGAAAACTAACGAGGGAAGGCCACCAACTGTTCAATCGCTTTTCCGTTGAAACTATTTGCATTATGTAGTTTCCAAAGAGTTATGAATACGCTGAAAATATTTTGGGTGGATAGCTTATTGTAACGAAAATAGTCCATTTGAAAGGTATGGGTTTTATTGAGTGCCTGGGGTCCCCCTCAGGAACATTAAAAAAATTGATTTTCGAATTTCGACTTGAAACTTTACATGGAAAGATGCCTCAAGGAGAACAACTTTTTGTGAACGTTTCAGATCTTTCTAGTGTTCCTATCATTAGACACTGCTATTGTGAAATTTGTATTTTATATCCTTCAAATAAAGTAGCAGATTTGGTGAAACAAACAATCAAAAGGCCTAAAACTTTCAGAAAACACCATTCTCGTTGAGAAGTATTTCTATGTAAAGTTTCAAGTCGAAATTCGAAAGTCAATTTTTTCAATGTTCCTGAGGGTGACCACGGCAATCATCAAAAATATACCTTTCAAATGGACTATTTTCGTTACAATGAGCTATCCGCCCAAAATATTTTCAGCGTATTCATAACTCTTTGGAAACTACATAACGCAAATGGTTTCAACGCAAAAGCGATTGAACAGTTGGTGGCCTTCACTCGTAAGTAGTGGCGGAGCTAGGATGTTGAGCTAGGGGAGGGGGGGCTCGGCCCCCTCTGAGGGACCTTTGAGTCCAGGTTGACAAATAAAATACATGATTTAAAAATTTTCCTGGGAGGGGCTCAAAGGTTTCTGGGGGGGGGGGGGGGAGCTGAGCCCCCAGCCCACCCCTGGCTCCGCCACTAAAACTAAGTACAAAATAAATGGTTCAAATGTATTTCTCATTGCTAAGCGTGTGTAAAGTTTCAAGGTATTTTTTCATTCTTCGGTAAGTATTTCGAAAAAAATGTTTCTATACAACTATGTAATGAAGACTTTACTCTTTCTAATAAGAAAACTATTATATGTTCACGATGAATTATTTCATGCTAAACTAAAAAGAAAATTTAATGATGAACATATGCACTATCTTCTATATATAAGCTGAAACTACAATGGTATGATCATATCATGTATACATAATTGGAAATATATTTCTTATTGTAATGGAACTATATAGATATATAACAAATTGTTAAATGTTAAAAAATCTTAAAGTTTTAGTAACTAACTCGCATTTATGCTTATCTTTACTTTATATATTCTTCAAAACATATTGTGGGAGGTTGAAAAATAAAATTTCTATTTAGATTCTATTATCATTTCTTTTCTTTGAGTCACGAGACATGTAGTTTTTTCTTTTCTCTTTCCACGCAAATCGAGGAGGAAGAACAAAACAAATGACTTGTTCTGTCGGCCGGCCTCGGCAGAGAATAGTTAGACTAACGTCAAGGCGTATGACGCAAAAAAAACAGAAAGCAAAGAATGTGTCACGAAATACGTCAATGGTGTTTTTCTCTCCTGTAACGCTATGGCGTGGGTAGCAAAAAGAAAGAGAACACGAAAAAATATGATATATATTAAAAGACAGCAATGTTGAAGACTCAAACAGCGATTTCATCGTATGCGATCAAATTTATTACCAATAGATCAACTTCTCATGTGTGTGAGCAAAGGTCAATCAGGGGATCGTTATCCCACACCAACTCCTTCAATTCCTAAAATTGAACCATATGCAACTTATTCATCAGACAACAGCCGTACATCGTATGATGATAATGAAACTATTTCATTCGGTCCTATTAAAGTCAAACCACGTAAAAGACCAGCACCAACTTTAGCTACTGGTCGTCGTTCAAAATATGAAAAATTACCACCAGAAGAAGAACAAAAACGAGATGTAAGACGTGCACGTAATCGTGCTGCTGCTGAACGTGTACGTGTAAGTCGATTAAATGTTGAACAACAATTATTGGATCAAATAAGTAAATTAGAAAAACAAGAAGAAAAATTATTAGAAGATGTTCAAACACTTCAACATCAAAAACTTCATTTAGAAACACGACTTATGACTCATGAACAAATGTGTCCTAATATGAATGTACAAAATTCATTTACAATATCTGATATTGACTTAACATCTTATCTTCCATTAGACAATTTTCCAACATCTTCACAACAAAATGGCACAATAATAAATGATAAAATAGCTGAATTCGATTTTGATGATGCATTTCTTAATTCATTAATTGTTGAACCAGTAGAAAATTTTCCTGAATCATTATCAAATATGATTGTCAATGGTGATCTAAATGATTTCTTCATGAATTAAATATAAATGTAATCTCAATATGTTTTTTTTTTCTCATTATTTTGTATAATATTTTTTTTTAACATGAATGATTGACTGTTAGTTTTGTTGTTGCTTTTTTTTTCTGTGGTTGTTGGATTCATATGTAAGATAACATAATATTATACTAGTGTTTGAAAGAAAATATTATTTAGAACATTTCATTTTTCTCTTGCAATATTGTTCATTATTTTTAGTTATATTTTTTATAAAATATTACTTTTTTTTTTTAAAAAAAATAAACAACTTATACAACCAGAAAAATTAAACGAGGTTTTTATTGACATAAATAGAAAAACGGGCCACCAGCTTTCGATGTTTTTTTTCTCCATAAGATTCTTTCGCACTTTTTTTTCTGTTCTCCTTGAAAGTAACTGCAACGATCGTTATATGCATACAATAGTATTTGCTTTGACCTGCGGAGCATGTAACAAATATTCAATTGTATTTTTTCTTTTAACAAGCTCTTTAAAACTTTGTATCCAACAAGATATGTTGATATTATATATATATACGTATATATATATGTTGTATCTTTCTCAAGGTTTTCAAGCAAAATTTTGTATGAGAAGAAAAAACGATGTTAATATATTTCTCTTCCCATAAAATATCTCGACTGGTATCCTAAAATAACATTTTTCCGTTTTGCCTGGTCTCTTTCTCTCTAATGTATGTATGAAAGCAATTACTTTTTTGACAAATGTCAAACATACATATACATATACAGGTAAAATACTCGATTATAAAGGTATACTTGATTTTGGGCGTCGTATATGTAAATGTGCCCATGCATATAGAATGTTTATGTCACTCAAGGACATTACATTTCATGTTGACATAGCTGTTTAATGTATGAAAAAAAAAATATAAAAGAAAAGGTAAATCTGTATGAAATCTAGGTGTATTTTTTTCTCTATACAGTTAAAAGTTTTTTTTTATATCAATCCAATAATTAGTTCTGTCTCTATATTTCAAATGAATGATGAAAATATTTGATGTAGACTACGTACGAATTTTCATACTATGATATTATTCTTGTTCATGATGATATATAATCATAATTTTATTTAAATTTGTACTGAATTATATTTGAAATTTTTCTATAATGAATACAAAACTAATTACATAGTTTTATTAAGAAAAAGTTATCAAACAAAAAAAAAAAATGTTTATTTTAAACAACTTTCATTTTTCTTTATAATTATTATTAAATAACAAAATAGGACATAGATCATTTGTATAACTATTTATTTTTCATTTTGTTTACTAATTTCATAATATCGTTGAATATATGTTAACGATGATTATCTTAATAAAATGTCATTTGATATTTAACACAAATGAGTCTGAAGAAATTATTTATAATAGATAAGAAAAAAGACTATTAAAAAAAAAAAATAATTTATCGAAAATTGCTGATAAATGAAAAGAATATTAAACTATAATATTAAACACAAAAGACATATTTTAAATATTATCATCTTTATATAAATTGACTCGATTTTAAATAGAAAGAAAGACGTCATTTGCATAAAAACATTTTAAACACAAAAAAAAAAAATATTAATTAATTATAGTTCGCTAATTACAAAAACAAAACCAGAAAAATTGGCAATTAGCTTCAATAATTTGAAAAATTTGACTGCTATGAGAAATCAATTAACTTTAATTTGTTTTATTTACTAACATTTAGGTTGACATAGCATAACATGTATTGCCAAAAAAAAAAAACTAGCCATTATGCATTAATTTCAACAGTTGATGTGAAGAATGAATGATGGTCATTCGAAATTCTTATTTTAGATAGTTTCAAATAAGTGTCATATGACAGGAAAAAAAAACAAAAATATTTCATTATTAAATTATCGAACATTAAAAAAATTTTTTCTTATGATATTTTTGAAATAATTTTTAAGATATATCATATTTGATTTTATAATTATGCATAGAAATATTGTTAGAATATAATTAAATAGAAATATAATTTTTTTTTTTTTCTTTTGAAACTTATAAAATTAATATTTTATAAATATATATGTCAATAATATAAATGAAAAAGATTCACGTTTTTTTTTGTCATAAATAAATCTCAGTTAATATACTAATCAAAATGTATGACACTTTGTCAATGCATACATTTGTATCAAATGTAAGTAACTGATGACATTTGGACTTTGATCGTTGACATAGAAAGAATGTTCTATGCACTTTTATTGTTCGTTTTTTTAACATAAAGAGATAAGAACTTTAACAATTATTAATTTTTCATTATATATTATTAAATTTTCGTGATTTATTTATAAAATAAATTTCATTTTAAATTTTATCATAACACAATAGAAATATTACTAACAATTATTTTCATCAAGAAATCTTGCCTATGCAAATCATATGTTTGATTTTATTTAACAAAAAAAAAAGAATCGACGTAATTATAACAGAACTAAAAGGCGAGTCGAGAAGTAACTAGAATGTATATATATATATGTATACATAAGTTGGTAACAATATGACAAATCCATAGTGAAAGAAAACAGAATTTTGTTAAATAAATATTTATACAACATAGGAGAAAGAAAAACGACATATGCGAAGAAAAACAAAAATCAAAACGTCATACTCAAAAAAATAAAAATGCAAGGTGTAACACGTGAATATTTTTAATATTTGCTAATATCATCGCTCTTACTACATGAGAGGACTAAATAGATCACCATATATTTGTCAAGAATTCAATTTCTGAATAAATAAGGTAATAGATTTACTTTATACTAGTTTTATACTAGTAATTATTTCTACATTATGATTGAAAATAAAAAGAAAAGATTTAAATATTTTTTTTTGTCTTCTGTAAAGTCTATTGAATAAAAATATGTATAAGAAATTTATTCAAATGATTGTAATGAATTCGACATTTTATTTTATTATTAATGATTGAATTTGACTGTATTTATCATAAAGAATAGAGATAGACTTGAAAGATGATAAGAAATAATATTGTCTATTACATTAATTTATATAAGTTTCTGTAGTTCAAATCAAAACAAAATATATATATATATATGGATCATCAATTTCTGTTTCTTTGAAAATAATTCATTTTTCAGTTGATTATATTATTAATATTTAATTTAATCAAGATCTTTATGTTGTATAATATGATTATTATTTGTTTTTAAACAACAATGAAAAGCTCGTTTAAAACTTGCACGAAATATTTCACTAATAAATGCATATAAAATAGGATTTGTTGATGAATTAACAAATAAAAGAAATTGTGTTAAACTTGACATTGGAATAAGTATTGAACTTGTTTGTGGTAATAATTCACTTGTTGCAAACATTTGAAATGTCCAATAAGGTGTACAACATATTATATGTACACTAATAACAGTTAAAACTAATATTGTTACTTTTCGTCGTGCACGCATTGATAAACGTGAACGACTATGTTGTCTAGGAAGTTGATTTCGTAAACGATAAACTATTCTTATATGAAAATAAGTCATTAAAGTAAGTGGTAAGAAAAATGTTATTGATGATGTATATGCAACATATACAAAATAAGGTGTACGTGATTGAAATAATGGTAAAATTATTGTACATTGAACAACAGATTCAAATGTTTCTTCTAGTGTTGTAAATGAAATAATAGGTAACATTAATATAAATGAAAGTATCCATATTGAAATAATAAGTATATTTGGATTAAAACGTGAACGCCATGCTATTGATTTAGCTACATGACAAACAGCTAAATATCGATCAAATGATAATAATGATAAAATAATAATAGATGTATATTGATTAACACCTTGTGTAAGAAAAAATATTTTACATGCAAAACTTCCAAATAACCATGAATGTGTTATAATTGAAGAAATAAAAAATGGTACACCACTTAAAAAAATAACATCTGATAAAGCTAAATGTAATAAATATATATTTGTAACTGTTTTTAATAGACCATAATTTAATACAACATAAATAACAAGTATATTTCCAATTAGACCAATTAAAAGAACAATAAATAAAAGTATAGATAAAATAAGAATAAATAAACTAGTTTTTTCTATTGTTGATATTGATAAATAAATACTTGTATTGTCTATAATACCATTATTGCTCAGATTATTCATCATATAACTTTCTATTAGAGGAAGCAAAAACAAAAAGAAAAGAACAATGCAAAAAAAAAACAACTATTTATTTTATATAAGCTAGAGAGAAAAAAAAAAGATAATAACGACAATTACAATAATGAAAAATTAATGCAAAAATAATCGAAAACAATGAAGACTTTGCATTAGTATCATTCCGGAAACGAGTTTTCTAGTTAACTTCTGCGCCATTCTTTTTAGGATACAAAAGTTAGAATGCCCGTGGCGATATCGAGAATAAGAACGATGTTATATATTAGTATGCCTAAAAATTTTTTCTGTTTTGCTTTCTTATAAGATGCCGGAAATTGAAAACTTCAGTAAATTGTTATTTTCAATTTATTTAATGTAATTGGATAGAGCGCATCGAATTACTTACAACAAATTGCTTTTCCAATTTTTGGAAACTAGAATAAATTCTGAATACAATGAGTAGAATCGTCCATTATAAAAAATATGTAAATATTTTATTATTATTATTTTCACTTTGTAAAGTGCTATAAGAGTTATATCGTGATTCTGCAAACAAAATTAACCCCCCCAAAAAAAAACCACCGCATGTGCATATGGTTTTTTTTTGATCAATTTTGTTTGCAAGATCACAAGATCATCATATCTACAAAGTGAAAAAATAATAAAATATTAACATATGTTCAATAATAGACATTTCTACTCATTTGATTTAGAATTTAGTCATTTTTCCAATATTTGCAAGAAAAACTTGCTTTCAAAAATCGAGAAAATAATTTTTCATAGATAATTCAATGTATTGTATCTAATGACTTTAAATAAATTGAAAATAAAAGTTTATTGAAAGTTTTCAATATCGTGTCCCTCATGCACGTGTCATACAAAAAAACCGCTTACATTGACATTTACTAAATACAGAAAAGAAAAAGCGGATAATCATTTAAAATTATAGATTATTCAGATTGTTTTAAAAAGTATAGACGTACTCATGTTAATTTTCTTATTTTGTGGATAAAAACTATAAAAAAAAAAGAATAAGTGAATACTTTGACATTGTTAATATTTTAGTATCTCTCTTCCAATTAGTGTTAATGAATCAGTACTATATTGGTTTTGGTGAAGTTTAATGTAAATGTATCGAAATTTCAGTCTCAATGTTTATATTATTTTAGTGAATTTCAGCATCATCTATGTCTTCACAGATCTAAAGATAATGAAACAAATCTCGGAATTCCTATTTGTTTTACATAATCGAGAAAATTTCTTTCCGTAAAATATCATGACTCACTAATAAATTTTAACTTAGAAAATACTTCTATATAGATATGATTTTCAGTGTTCAAAAAATTCTGAAAAATGCTTACGACGACCCATTTATATCTGATATTGACTGTCGTCAATTGAATAATCAAGAACAAATAGTTTCTAGAGAAATGTCAAGCTCTAATTTCAAATAGAATATAATAATAATAAAATAGTAATATTGGTTTTTTTCTTCATTTGTAGAATATGAATGTAGTCTTATATTTATATGAAAATATTCTGAATGAAACAATTGAAAAAAAAAAAAATCTTAACAATGTTATTATGTCCTACAGGAACTTACCAATGTATATAGACAAGATTGGAATGTTTTTTTCCAGAACTTTTCTCTTATGTCACGGCTTTCTTACAATAGAGAACTAAAAGAATGTGTTTTTTTTTCATTCATTCTCTTGTCATCATAATTGATGAATGAATAGAATTATGGTTATTCGAAACAAATGTTTTCTTTGTTTTTCTACTAGTTAAATGACCGACAAGAAAAATTTCAATTAAAATTATTTTCTATTCTATTCATTATATTTGATTATTACTTGGTTTTTCTGTATTGTCGTTTTGTCATAAAAGAAAAAAAAACTATACGTTCAACAAGTCGAGAAGAATTATTTACGTGCGGAAATAGAACAGCAAATAAAATGATAGATGGATTTTTATTAGCATAACCTGACCATCTTTCTTAAATAAGACGGAATGTATTTTCTGATTTGTTAGATTTTATAGATAATATCTATATTTGATTTATATAAGAGGAAAAAAAACAACAAAATAAAACATATACAGACATGCATATAAACAAGAAAAACAAATCTAAATTGTCACTCATACTGAAAAAATTCAAGTAATATAGAAAAAAAAATTATTTACTAGCTATTGTTTATGTAGACTGACATAATACTGTCATTTTCTTTTTCAAATAAAGAAAAAAAGAAAAAAAAAAAAAAAAGAGAAAAAATAAAATTATTTATAGTTTTGATCTTTGGCTAGTATAAATTTGTCTATGCAAAATTAAAACCATAAAATATTTTTGAGATTCATGAAAAAAAAATGAGTATATTATTCATGCTTTGTGATCAAACATCTCGACTTTCATAAAATAATATATAACTAGTTTCTGATTGTCGACCCAGATCATGAGAAACTCCATAAAATTCTTCAAAATTGGACGGATCAAGACGCTAAAAAGAAAAAAAAAAAGTTATAATATGAAAAGATGCAATCAGATAAGATCGGCAATCTGCCATTCCCTTAAGGGCTCACATTCAGTATATTAGAAAGATGAAGCATGAAACTTTGCACGTTTTTATATATTTATTTTTTGTTTTGGTGAATGCAAAAAATTGTCCTCAAGTCAAATCAGACTTGACTTGCCAAGTTTTGAATAATATTTGTGATAATGATAATCTTCTTCTTCTTTGTTTTTGCAAATTCAATACGAAAACAAACATTCTAGATTGAGATCGTTTTTCATGCTCTACAAAATGACATATTAATCATGTTTATGAATTAATTTATGTAGAGTCAAACAAGTGTGATATCATACCTCTCTCACTTTGCATAAACTAACTTGATAAAAATGATTCATACATCAATTTTTGTAAAGCATGAAAAAAAAAAAACATCAATCTACAATATTAATTTTCATATTTAGTGTCTTAAAGAATAAATAATCGTTACCATAGTTATTATCCAAAAGTGATAGATCACTTGAGACTATTGAGTCTTCGAAAAATGTCTTTTTTTTGTTTTTTAGTCATCAAAGTAAAAATTAATTATACAGATATATGTAGAATTTTATGTTCTATCTTTCTAATATATTGCATGTGGAACCTAAGGGAATAGTTGATTTTAATGAGTTTATCTGATAATATCCTTCAGCTAATTACAAATAAGAAATCCTTACATCAACCGTTTCATCATCAAAAACAAGCCAAGAACCATCTCGTTTAACAACAGCTATATAATGACCACGATTTGGTCCTATACCACAATGAACAACTAATGAAACAAGATCATAGATACGATCACTATTTGTACAATCTTCGGACTAGAGAAAAAAGAAAAATTCTTATGAAAAAAAAAAGTTTTCTTTTTTTTGAATATCTAACCGTATTAAGAAGTCGAAGTTCAAATGGAAAAACAACACGATAAGATAATTTTTTATATTGTTTAAAAACTTCAAAATATTTAAAACGTTTTAAATGAAGTGCTAATATACGTGGTAATTTTTTAATACGCATTCTATTGAATAGAAAGATAAAATATATATATATATATTGATTACTAATTAATTTAACCTTTTTGTTGCTTCTTGTTTACTTCTACATGTTTCACAATAATATTTTGATTCACCAGATAATGTTTCAATATTACTAAATACTCGTAAACAAGTTGTTATCGATGTATTTTCTTCAACATCAATTGATAGATCAAGAAAATTTTCATCTTTACTATTTACCTAAAATAAATGAAAGGCATACCGAGTAAACAACAAACTAGAAAGTTAAAATTTGTTGAAAAAAAAAAGCCGAAATCACAAAAATGTATAAAAAGTCTTTAACCATGAATGTAAGTAAAAATATTAGCTGTTTCAGTTCACACTTAATTATAATTAATTAGTTAATTGAAGTGTATTGAGTAAATCATTCTCTAATCATATGAAGGAAAAGTTCCAGAATTTCAGAATAGACTTTATGTCATAGACTGTTTGTGATGAAATTTTCAGCAAGATTGTGTAATATTAAAAAAGAGTAACTGAATATACAACTGTTACGAAAGAATTACTTCAAAGAAATGTGCTCAAGTCAAAAGATATAAGCATATTTATTTTGTGAAATTATCTCGCTAACGAACGGAATCACTTATATATAGTACTATTTAAAATTAATTTTTTCTATAATGCCGAATATTCAACTCAAACATAATTAGTGATTTAAATATCAAATGCGCAATATATATATATTAAGGTTTCATAGCTGGACAATATGAAATGTTCTCTAAAAGATCTTCAAAATCATGGTATGCATTGACTTTAAACAGGACTATGTGCGAGGTCATCAAGCTTTTTTCTTTCTGACTATCGTCACTAATGATGTTACAAGCAGCACAAAAGAAATTTAAATAAATTTCGCTTGTTTTCGTGTTTTATGATGCTTATAGTATTATAATTGAAGGTTACATAGACCGTATCGATCTGTCATATTATTCCGAATTTTGGTACTCTTTCAGATGTCATTATTTAAAGCTGAACCCGAACAATATATTTTGTGACCTAAAAATCACAGTATTGGAGTTTCTAGCAAATTTTTACGCATCATTCAACCATGAAATCTTGACATATAGTGCATTTCATAAAGAATTTTATTAGTTATTCAGATTTCTATTTTAGAGATACTTGTAATATTAATACATTTCGAAAAGAACTTTTTATTTCATTGTCTTCCAGTACGAGATAAATGACAGAAGTTTGAATTAGAAATAGCCTTTCTTTTGAAGTCGTTTAAGACCAAATCGAAAAAACAATCATGTAATAGCTCTTAAAATTGATCATACAGATTTAACACAAAATGGTAACTCATATAAAGAATTGAAATAATGATTTGAATAGAGAAATTTATTTCCAAGAAATATTTGAAAAAAATGAAATCGTCGAAATTCAGAATCTCTAAAGAATTAGAAATCTAATTTTTTTAGCACTCAAAACTTTCAAGTAAAGGTCACGTTTGATCACATGGAGTAAAAGATCAATTAATTTTCTAGGACAATTTTTGACGGAACTACATCCATTTTAATAAAATTATAAAAACAGTTCTTTTTTTGTCATTTCCTGTGGAAGAAAGGAACAAAAGAACTTAGGTGCTTCTCTTAAGATTGATTCTAAAAGAAACTTTTATTTTCGAGTGTTGAATTTTCTAGAAAATCTAAATTTTGTGAAATCTCGACATTTGAGCTTGGCATTGCGAAATATATTGAAGAACTACAAGAAAATCATTTTATGTGAATAGTTCTACATTCACATAAAACAATTGAATAGAGTTCTTGCTAAGTTATGAACGGTTGCAGAGAATATTTTCGATCCAAATTCGAAATTATTTATTAGAGAAAATTGAATTTAATCAACAATTTTAGAATATATTTTACTAATAAAAATTTTTACAGCACTATTCATAATATATATGCATCATCAGAATTCATTGTAAATGATCCGATTGTTAACAGTATTCATATAGAAAAACAACGGTATATCAAGAATTATTATACTATTTGTTTTACAATCTAAAGATAATTCTATTTAAATAAAAGTAATAGTTTATTAAATACCGTTTCACAATTAAGACATTTAGTCGTTGATACAAGTGTTCCTTGAAAAAGTTCATGTATCCAAGTTTCTTCAATTAATGAATTATGAATTGTAGTTATATCATTATTTATATTTAAATTAATTGATGCTGTTATTCGATTATATTGTTCATCATTATTATTAATAGTAAAATTAATTGATTTATAACGTTGTTTATCATGTTTATCTTTTTCTTCTTTTTTTTCAGCTAAAATAAAATAAAATAATTTAATTAATAAATATTAAAATAGAAATTTTTTTTTTTTTATTTTTTATACCAAGAAGAATATCACCACAAGTATTTAGTAAATGATTAAGAAATTCATGTGCATCTTGTTGCATATCATTATCAAAAATGGCTTAATAAAAAAAGAAAAATTAAATTTTAAATTTAATCATCTCCTATAGAATAAAATTACTATTTTCTTTTCGTAATTTATTAATAAATTTTTTTGGTTGTAATGCACCAGTTCGTTTTTTACCATTTATTATCATATGAAATAAATCAGCAAGACATGTTAATAAATTATCTTTTTTATTTTTTTGTGTTAAACGATAATTTAAAACATGTTCTCGAAATGGTTTACAAAAATAAAGAGCTTGAATCACCGAATTACAATAGCACGTATTACCAAACTAAAAGTAAATTAGAAAAAAAAAAGAACAATGATCTTCACAAGATAATTTTGCTTACAAAATCAATTACTCTTATCTTATTAAGACTAAACTCAATATCATATAGAACAAAATCGAAATTGATTATGGATTAAAACTTTTGATTTTATCTGATCATTGAAAATTTTTCTTGATTACGAACTTTAATTGTTAATTGAAGGAAAAAATATGTTCGCTTTATAGAAATAAACAAAAATAGATATAGTAAGATGATTAGTGTAGGTAACTTGTTTACAGAGAAACATTCGATTAGAAACTAACAAATTATACAGGTGACTATTACAGTCAATTTAAGAATCGAAAAATGATTCGAATACACAAAGAACAAGCTCAAAAACATTCGACATATCTTAAAAGAATCATATTCATTATAAATGAAAACATTTTGATTTTCTGATTCCACTTTGAGAATATTTTTCCTTTATTGGCAACAATTAGGATGTAGCCGTTTTTTTTTATAACACTCATATTTAATCTATTTGCACTATCTTTATTCTTTTGCCATTATTCAATATATACATTAGGTCAAAACATTGAGACTGATTAAATCCTCCAAGTATCCATATGGTATGTTTATTCTCACTAGTAAACTACCATCAGCATGGTGTATATTATACTAAATGGTAAATTAGAATCATATTTTTATCTTTGAAATGTAACTAAATATAGATAATGGAAAAATAATAAACATCAAGTTGTCTCCGAGTCTGAAGTATGACATTCATTAATAGGAAAAAAACAAACAATAGACAGTCATATATTGAATAATGGCAAATATGTCTTTATTGGGTAATAAATCATTATTCTTTCTGAAACTTCTTTGTTCTATTTAATATGAGTTTAATTATCTTGATAGACGATCATGTTTTGAATAGTATTCTTGTCATTCTATTCATAATTCAGTGACGTTATATTGCAAAAAAAAACAATCAAACTCTATCTTATCGATACATCGAAACGCATTGTAATATACTATAGCGGAATTCTAACTACCTAATTTCGTCACCTTCATAACAAAGGAAAGACATATGCAACATAATTTCAATTTCTTTCTTAATACATACATTTACAAGACCAAGATAATGTTCACTTGAATTCGAGTCAGCGATCGTATGACCATTTGTATCGGATGAAACGCCATGACCCTAAATTTTGTTAACAAACTTGATTAAAAATAAATAATAATAGTTAAATATTACCATTTTAAAACAAAACATTTGATAGATATCAAAAATATTCGTGTTTTCGTGACATATGTTATCTGAAAAAAACAAAAAATAAAAATCATAAAAACTTTCACCATAAAAACAAAACAAAAAAGAAAATAATTATTATTATTATCAAATAATTATATTTTGACTAGAATATCTTAATATTGAACGAAGAGATGTTAATCGATAACCATGTAATGTAAATTTTCTCCAAAGAATTATTTGACATAATGAACATATAATTGGTATTATAATAATATTATTAAATAGATCTTGTCGTTGATTATTTAATGAATAAAATAATCGTGAACTTATTATTGGTGCTAATGTTTGACCAGGTTTAGATAAAAATGTCATTGTACCAAAGATTAATGCTGATAATGGATATATTCTCTTATATATAAATTGATCTTCATCAATTAAATCTGTTATAATTAAATCATTTAATTTACATATACCTTCTGTAAACATTCGATTACTAGAAGAAAAAAAGAATTTTTTTTTGTTATTTTATTTAATTATTACCTAACAATAAAAAGACAAATTAACATAATAGAATTATTTCCTTGAATAAATAAATATAAAGAAAAAAATAATTTAATATAAAATAAATTACGAATAACATAATAAGTGCCTTGTAATTTACATAAATAAACAAAATATATATTGCTAAGATGTGGAATAAGAAATGAAATACCTAAAAAATCAAAATTAACATAATAACAAAAAAAAAATTAATTTCTACCAAGAAGAATTGAACCAAATGAAGATGATGGAATAAATATATTAAGAATTAATGGAATAGAATTACTATTAAAATGACAATGAAATACCTAAAAGAAAAATTCATATGGATTATTTTAAGTTATTCAAATTTTCTCTTTTTTTTCATAAATAACAAAATCAAGAAGTCAATGTTTACTTTCGATAAACATCAATACGAAGATGCGTAGTGTTTTACTTGAATAGACAGTTCATTAATAATAAATAAAAATGCATGATCTATTAACTCATCTAGTCCAACAGTGTGGTTACTATTTCATTTCTCAGAAATCTCAATTTTCAATAGTGAAAACTTCACTAAAAAGAAGCTTCGAAATAAAGAATAACTACATAAGATTATGAGAAAAATAGAGGCCCTTGAAAATAAACTTTCAATTGAATTATTGTTGTTTTTTTTTGTAACTATTACTATAGAAATATATTAATGAAAAATATCTAGATTAATACCTATATTGATTAGAGATTTGGAAGACTGGGACCTGCATAACGAGGGAGAAATTATTGATATATATACTGGGACTACGAGAAAAAATTTATTTCAACCGAAACTAAAGATAATAGCCAATATTCTATGGTTTTAAGAAAAAAATTTTATAAATCATCAATCAGAACTAGATGTGTTACAAATAAATTCTAGAATCGTTATCTTCAGATCGGAGAGTAGTAAAAATTAAAATTTAAGAATAGTATTGTGTCAGTTTAGGACTACCCAAGCAGACAAAAATTTCAAAAAACGCGTTTAAACGCACAATCGGGAACCGCGACTGTGACCCATTGACGCGCATTAAAAAAACGCAAGAAACGACGTTTTTTGTGCAGAATAGTCAATTTTCAAGCGTGAAAACGGCAAAAATATAAAAAACTGAGCGTTTAAACACGTCGTTTTTTAAATCTAGAAACAGAGAACGTTTTAACACTAGAAATTTAAGTTTTCCACCGTTTTCACGCTTGAAAAGTGACTATTTTGTACAAAAAACGTCGTTTCTTGCATTTTTTTAATGAGCGTGAATGGATCACAGTCGCGGTTCCCGATTGTGCGTTTAAACGCGTTTTTCGAAAGTTTTGTCTGCCTGGGTAGTTCTTGGATGGTGGTAAATAAACACACAATCAAAATCTTCTTTTGACATTATCAAGAAATATAACTATTAATGAATATTAAGCTCTATGACTCATATACTCTAATGTATAAAAATTGACATTTACTTATTATGCAAGACACAAAATTGATAAAATAGAATAATCGTCAAATCGAGCAACATACTCTTTCCATTAATAATAAAAGTATTTCTATCATGTTTCAGATTTTAATTATACATAAACTTCAAGAACTATTTTCTACTCATACATACTTGAATAAGATTTACTAAACTGAAGATTATATAATTCTTATGTTTATGAATATTATATATAAATTGCCAAAGATTTGGAATATGTTCTTGAATAATATTTCTTTCAATAGATCTAAATGAAAATATTATTAATTAAATCTAAAAGATGAATAAAATATAATCTTACTTGATATTATAACAATATAGAATTCGTTTCATTGCTTGAATAACAAAAATAAATCCACACATAATTATAATTGTTAATATTGTTACAAATATTCGAAATAATCGAAGATCTAATACATTCCAAAATAGATATGAAATTAGTAATGGCAATGAACCTTAAAAAACAAAAAAGAAACATCGTTAAATAAATAAGACAAAAAGAAAAACATTCTATATTTACCAAGAGCATTTCCAATTGCACTTGCTGAACTTAATGTTTCTCGTTTATAAATAGAAATATCAATTAATAATGAATTATAATTTAAATCAATCATTGTTAAAAATGTATCATATAGACATAAACTAAAAAGAAGTTGTAAACCAAGTAATGATGAATTTATTTTAACAATTGGATACCAAAAACAAAGTGATGATAAACAAAATAATGGACCACATAATATTAAATAATTAAGACGATGATCAATCGATGATGTATATCGATCAGATAACCAACCAAATAGAGGATCATTTAAACTATTCCATATAAGAAATAAACTTTCAGCTAACCAAAATGAATATGAATTTATTTTATATATTGATATATATGTTTGAACATAATAAACAACATGAAGATAATGAATTGATGTTTTAAAAAATGATAATAAACAATAAAATAAATATATTAATTGTTTATTAATCATCTTAAAAATTGTTCGAAGATATTTATAGAATTTTCTTTTTATAACAATTATTTCCAAAGACAATAAATCGAATTCTATTTTTAATTTAATTATTTGCAATTCAAAATGAGGGCGGGTGTTGGTGGAGGTCGGAGTACATCAATATGCTTGTTAACGATGTTATGTAATATTTCAGTGCTAAACCTTGTTTTGCAGTAGAAGACCACTGACATCAAGGTAAACAGTACCATAGCGGATTCTGTATCCATGACACACTGTCAGTATTTACACCAACATTGCACATTCTTATCTCAGTTTTTTGAGATTTTTCAGTACAAAACTCTGCAAATTAGCTAGTTATATTTTAATGTAAATATACTAATAAAAGTTCAAATTGTGCGAGAAGTTAATTAATTAAAAGGAATAGTTCATGATGTCCGACACATCGTTTCTCAAAAGAACGCGTCTTTACAGGAGAAAGAGATTTATTACAGATTCGATTTGTATTTATCCCTATGCCATATTATATCTTAGTGCATGAATATTATTAAACTCTTAGCAACATGTTAGGCTTCAATCGACATTGCGTTTTGTTAATATGAGCGCGCTCAAGCCATCTGTGTCTACTATATTGACTGTTGTCGCTTAGTTTTCGAGTCTGTTATTTATTAGAGATGGTGCTAGAAAGCTTAACCAATAAGATGAATTGTGGCGGCATCTGACACATTCAAAGCAGCCAATGAGGATGCAACAAGCAATGTCACCAGGGCTCCGAATGGGCCGTCATGGGCCGAAAGTGTTTTGGAAATTACTATGAGACAAAAGCGGTTGAAAAGTTTTTTCGATAAGATTTTATGAGACACTAGCTCTATGGTTTCGTAGAAACGGCATTTTTAAAAGTAGGTTGTTTTTGTCAAGAGTCAGAGCTCTCTTTCGAAAATTTTTAGTGTTTATAGATTCATATGTGTAAAAGTTTTCAAAAAAAGAATCGTAACTGTGAAAAGGAACGACCTAGTTCAAAAAACGCAGTTCCTACGAAACCACAGAGCTAGTGTCTCATAGAATCTTCTCGAAAAAACTTTTCAACTCCTTTTGTCTCACAGTAATTTCCAAAACACTTTCGGCCCATTCGGAGCCCTGAATGTCACTTTGCCCTAGCAGGTCAGAATGATGTTGATTGTTGCGCTCTCATTGACAAAACCTTGGACGCAATATACTACGGCATATAAGAACTGACTTTGTTCAGTTGAAATTGATCTTTTCAAGACAACAAATCTTAATGTAATAGACAAATTATAGAATAATTGACGACACAGGTCATGTCAGTGTAGTGTTTTCACACTTATAAGATACAAAAAAGTTAGTGTCCAATATATCTCATGCAATTGAAAATTATCAGATATGAAACCTTCAATTTTACTTTCTCAAACTTGTTCTAATAGGCATCTAAAATTTGTTTGATAATCTATGAATTCTTTACCTTATCTTCCACCTGTTTATAAAAGAAAGACCACCATATTTAGAAAATAAATCCAGTAGATTATCCTTCATTGATTGTAAAGCTTCTGATTCTGTTGAACAAATCCATTCAATAGAAAAACGAAAAAATATCTTTTTGTTTTTTCTTTTCTTTTCTCTCAAAATTCATTTTCCTATTTTATCATCTGAAAAAAAAAACACAAACAAATAAAATACATTAATGCGCACGATTTATTTTTTCTTTTTTTGTTTATCAAACATCAATGAAAACAAAACAAAATTTACATTAGAAAATCACAACATGTTTTTCTTTTTTTCTTTTATTCTCGATGTTGATTACGTTCTAGAATAATCGGACGTGAACATAATGCACAATTTTGAGTAGCATAAAATGCTTTTTGTAAACATTTTTGATGAAATATATGAGAACATGGTGTTATACATGCAATACCCGATGTTAATGTATTATGACATATTGAACATATATCATTATATTCTTCTATTTGTGTTATTGTTGCTAATGGTAATTGATTAACATTATCCCATGCTGATTTTCGATTACGAAATATTT